GTAACTTTTTCGTAGATTCTGTATTAGAAGATTAGAAGGTTTAATAAATATATATCTATATTAACTTATGAACCCTCTAACAAAATTGATTGATGACTCACCGGTAAGGAAGAGTTTGTGAAAATGCTTTTGAACCACCATTGTTTTGCAATTTTTTTTTCTCCTCTCCTAAAATCTAGAACTCTCAAACTCCTGCTTTGCAAATATATTTTTCTTCTGTCTTAAAATTTAGAATCCCCAAACTCCTAATGCTGGAGATCATACATGTGGAATAAGAATTGTGAAATACTTCATCCTATTATAGCTAAAGGCACAAGTGTTTCTCATGTTTGGATCAAGGAGGATGAACACGATATGTAATACCTACTGATGAGAACTTAAGTTAGGATCATCGAGCTTTTGATTTAGTGTATCTTTTTTATTTTGTGACACTTTATACTTTATTGCTATTTTTTGTGCTTTTACATTGTATACATGCCTATTTTATACACACAATTCCTTTCAAATGCTTGAGCATCCATTAACCTTAACATAAAATTATTTATATATATGATAATTTCTTCAAAATTTGACTATATTAAACTTTCAGCACCTAATGAACAAGTTTTCCAATGGGTACTTTGGTTCTGTGGCTAATTTGAAGGCCTTGTGTTTATGGAGGTGTTAAGGGTTCGATTCTTGCTAATAACAACTTTTTACACATTTTCTGTTCTCTATTTTTCTCTTTGCTTTTAAATATAAACGCACATGTCCTTCTCTTTTTATTTTCTTTGTTTACTTAACTTTTAGTCTTAACTTCTTTTACGTTCACATTTTCAATTCTTTATTTTTCTCTTTCCTTTTTAATATAAACTCACATGTTCTTCTCTTTTTACTTTCTTTGTTTACTTAACTTTTAGTCTGTCACGCCCCGAGCCTACACCCTGGACGGGACCGGCACTCGAAGATCATTGTTGGCCCCAAGCGAACCCTTGGCCTAACTTTCTTAACTCAGCGGAAACCTAACTCAACAGAATAACTCCATGCAATGAAAGAGTCATAAAACAACTTAACTGATAAAATCTGGACCAAAAAGGCAACTCGTGTCTACAAAATAGAATATTTACATATATACATAGATGAGAGACTCAACACTAACTGATTGACTGTCTATGAAGCCTCTAAAATACTGAGATGGATGTTGGGACAGACCCCGCAACATCCTAATAAAACAAAACTAAAGAGAACAAAATAACCGAGTCCTCCAGAAAGCAAGGAGGCTCACCACTGACTCTGGAGTGCTCAGCTGGATCAACAACGTACTGGATGCTGATCCTGGGTACCTGCGTCTGCATCATAATAAGATGCAGGGCAACTGGCATCAGTACATTGAATGTACTAGTATGCGAGCTGGAAAGCTCAACCACAACTTAAACTTGAAAAGGAGTACACGAGAACACTTACCTTGGCTCTGTTCAACTCATGAATAACTGAACTCAATATATAAAGCAATAAGACACATGCAACATATAAAGCTTGTAAAACTATTTAAAACATGACGT